TAACGAGGGGTACCAATTGACCCAAATTAAAACATAAATAAAAAATAATTTGTGTTGAGTTATTCTACATCGATCGTAAAAAAAATCGTATTTTTAGTTTTAGTTATAAATAGAAGAAAAAATTTTACCCCTCTGATTAGTTTTTGAGATTGAAAAGATTTAACACCATAAAAAAACCAGTATCAAAACTTACGAGAGATTATTAGTTTGGGAAAAAATAGTTAATTTTTAGAGCTCAATGAGTGAAGAGTATTTATAATTGTGAATTAAGGGACTTTTGGGTCCAATAATACCTAACCATTTGAAATAAAGATAGGAGTTGAAGTGCAGAACCATTCTCAACAAAAGGGGCAAAAAAATGCAAATCAAATGCAAGTAATAAAGAATTGAAAATATAATTAAAAAAAAATCATAAATTTATCCTCTAGCTGAGTATATGGATTAATTTACCGTTAAGCCAATAACGGCCAAAATTGGACTCTGGTCTTTGAGATAGTGGAGGTCCTGCTCATCAGAAAAGGAGGGATTGGGAATATGCTTCGATGCTTCAAGTATCAAATTTGAAATATATACCAAAAAGTGAATAAATTCAAGCATAAAACAACAGATATAAAAAGAGAAACAAAAAGCCTAAATTTGGTAAAACCTGTAAGAGGAATGAAGACCCCACAAGGAATAAAGATAAGCATGTTCCCGTAGAAGAAACCTGCAAACATTTGTGTTCGTTATGGTTTAGTAATCAACTAAACCACCAGGTTCAAAATGAAGTAATTTCCATCTCAATTACTGACCAAAAGAAGCGTCCGTCTTCCGGCTATATCAAGCAAGAGAACACCGGCAATAGTAGTCTGGATCTACAGAAGATCATCTACGTTTGTAAGAATCTCATAGACGAAGCAATTTACTTGCTACAAAAACCTAACTAGGAAAAGAAAGGATCCAGTAAATACCTGTAATATACCTATGATTGTAGTACCAATGGTAACTGAAAAATCTAGACAAACCAAAAACAGAGTCATCACTTTATCTTATTTGTATTACAGATTTTTAAAGATTAATATAAAACCATTTTTAAAACATCATGGAATGGTTTAAATTTTTACATTAAAATAGTTTTTTTTAATATGATATTAAAATCTTACTAATCAAACAATCAAGAATTCAAATCTTATTGTTCTATTTTTTCTTCTAATTAAAATTAAATAATTAAATATAAAAAATAATGATGAATGTGTCCAAATTTCAAATACAAAAAAAAATTATTTAAAAAAAATATTAAAAATTAATATATAATCATTTTTTAAATTTTATTTAACAACTTCAATTATTGAATTAAAATGATTTTTTAACATGTACAAATTTATGGTGTATTTGTGAGTAGACGAGTTAGAACCCGACTAATCATAATAAGTTATACATTTGCGAAGCTGTTACAAAAATACACATACTTCGACGTGACAAAAATGACTTCATGTTACGTTTCATGTGCACACCAAAGATAAATGAAATTATTCTATCCAATCTTATGATACACCAAAAGAACATGATATATGTTGTAATAATCTCATTTTTTACCGTCGTTTATTTTTGTACAAATTAAAATTAAAAAAAATATATATATATATTGTATAGCTTGTTCTTTTTCATGATTTTAAGCATTTTTCTATAAATTTCTAGAATTTTAATTATTCCTCATTTTTAATTAAAAAATAATATTAATAATAAAAAATTCTTAATTTATTTCAAAACCTTAAAAATCTCCTAGATGAGCCACAACTAAGGAATATGCCAGCATCTCATTTAGTCTGGTCCGCAGTCTCCTCTCCTGTGTTAGAATGTTGTGATTGTTATTATTATACATACACGTGCAACATTAAGTAATTTACACAAGTTTTCGAGTCCTCTTTCTTTTCTACTGTTAAAAAAAAAATCATCACTTATTAACAGTAATGGATAACACAATAACGCTAAATAAATTACCGATTGGTTAATTTTTAAATTCCAAACTATTATTGTTTTGCTTTCATAACCAAAAAAAAAAAATTGATATTGTCAATTAACGGTCAATCTATAATATACCCATTTATTTTTCATCACCACCCACAGACTCACAGACACTTTGATTATCTAGTGTGGTCTGTGGGTTGGCACCAATTAATGCTGAAGCGGTCATGCACAAATCCAAACCGATTAAATTGCAGGCCAGGTCAGGCCCAAAATGAATCGAAGAGGGGCAACGCACAGGCAGGCTTTCTGTTCATTCTTTAGAAGAAGGACGACGTGTATTTTAGGTTTAGATCGACGACCTGTCTTGTTCTAGTATTCCCGCTTCTGCCTTTTTTCTTCTTCCCTTTGTCGTTAGTCACACACCAAGAGAAGCCGAGAAGAAGGGAAGAAGAAGAGAAGGGGAACTGTAGCAGCTAAAATTTCAACAAGCTTTGGACACAAGCTCAGAGCTTGTCTTCGTTGCCGGCTTGTCAAAACTTAGGATCAGGTTTTCTTCTAGTTTTCTTTGGTTCTTTTTCTATATAAATTAGTGAACATTAGGGTTTTGGGCTTATTATTTATGGATAAAATATTAAAAATAAAAATTGCAGTGCCGAGAGTTGGGATGTGAGAATTGCCTCTTTTTAAAGATGGACAAAGATCACGAGCGTGTCGTTGATTGCATAACTTGTTGATTATGCAAGAATTTTAATTCGAGGGTTTTGAGCTTATTATTTATCCTAAATTAGGATGATCTCTTATTTTAGTAGGCGTAATACAAAGTTCATATATGATTGGTGAAACTTTAAAAAATTTATGTTAAAAAAACCCTTATCAACGATCCTAAAAACAAAAAGAAAAGTGGGAAAAAAAAAGAGAGAAGACTAAAGAGACAAAAAAAGAAAAACATCCTTAAGACAAAATTTACGAGTTAAGATGGAATCAAAATCCAAACAAACAGACGATGAGAGTTGAAGCTAGTAAGTAAAGTCAACAATCAAAATATCAAAGTATAAGTTTAAATAATAGTTTTGAAATTGAAGCAATTGATTAATTTGTTTATTAAAATTACAGCTACTAATTTATAATTTACTCCAACATAAACCACAAAGGCACTAAGAAGCAAAATAAAGTACACTAAAGACAACATGAATAAGAAAAATTAATAATAAAAAAAGGATTGATGCTTTTTTATATCCTTTTATTTTTTCTTTTATATTTAAGATGTCTTTATGTTATTTATTTAATCATAATATCATCTATTCAATTTCTTCATCATCGTTTTTATTTTTTCAAATTGTACGGCGAACACCATTAAAAATTGACACATCATGTTTCTAAGTATGAAATTCTCATTGATGTAAATTTTGATCACATAATTTAAAAAATTACTTTGATCCTTGTATTTTAGTTTTTTACAAAAAAAAAAATACTTAATTTATATATTTTTTTATCATTGCATTTTATAAAAAAATACAATTTAATCACCAACTTAATTTTTTTTCAATTAAATATCTATATGTCAATTCATAAACTTAATCAAAATTAGTCAAATAATTTAATTGGTTGATAGACAAGGTAAAAGATTAAGTGAATTTAAACAGGTATGTCAAGTAAAAAAAACCTTTTGTTTCCTATAATATCATATTTTTATTATGATAATTTTTATTTTATTTTATTTCTTTTTACAAAAAAAATGTTTTCCTGATTTTAACCTAAAAAACCAAGATAAAATTTTTTTAAAAAATTCATATTAGATATATGATATTATAAGAATGAATTCTATCTCAAAGTAATAGCTTAGTTCCTAAACTTTTTTTTTATATATATATAATTTTTGATTGATTAGATTAATTGATCATGGATGTGATTATTTTTATGATTGTAGGTGATATGATTGTGATTTTATTGAATTTTTATTTTTTATAATATCATATATTAATTACTAAAAATTTGATGAAGTTTGCGATTTGACATGTAGTCATGTAGGAACTTAATTGAAAAGAAAAATTAAGTTAGTGACTAAATTTCATTTACTATAAAATGCTATGACCCAAAAACTTTCTATTAAGGACTTTTTTTTTTTAGAAAAATGAAACTAGAAATTTAAGTAAATTAAAAAAATCAAGGACCAGAAGGTACATGAAAGAAAATATCATATCGTCGGGACATAACACGTGTCAATGTTTAAGGATGTTAGTGACCACCAATTGACAGAAGGATGTGACGTTAAAAAAAATGTATATAGATGATATTAAAAAAATAATGACTAAATTATAAATTACTCCCTTTTATTTCAAGAAATAAATAAATAAATTATTTTTTTAAAAATAATTATTTAGTCTCTGTGTTTTGAAATTTATTTATAATTTACTCATTTTTGTTATTTTTTAATTAATTTATCATTAAAAAAAAAGATAAAGAGATGTAAGAAAGCATCAACCCAGATAAAAAAACAAAAGATAACAGTGCAAAATAAACCAAGTCTGGAAGTGATGAAAGTCGCGTATTGCTCTTTTTAATTAAGGAATCTTCTTTTTTTTTTTTTTTTGAGTCTTTCCATCCGTGTCGTTTAACGTTTTTAATTTTAAAAAATATATGTTAATTTAATTTAAAGGCAATGATCCAATTAAAGAATATTTGATAGATTGGAGATTAAAATGATAAAATAAGTCTCTTTGTGATAAGACTGAGCTAATCCATACATTAAGACAACAAAAAATACTTTCCCAAAAATATTTGACATTTAGGTAGAAATAAGTTGAATTACTAGAAAATTCTTTCAAGAGCGGGTGTTATTCACCACAATGGATTGCTCGTTGATGGATGAAATGCCTTTTGAGTTGATAATTGTTTTATATTATTGTTATATATATATTTTTTGATAGGTTTAGAATTGTCAAAAAGTTTAATTTATGATTTAGATTACTATAAATAAATTGTCAATATCGAAAAAGAGAGAAGAATTTTAGCCATTAATTACTGTCTTATAGTAGCATGGAGACAGACTCTTTTTAGGAGACCTCGTGCGGAAAACGAGTGACTGCTGCCTGTATTTCTTCCAACGTCCGTCCTTTAGTCTCCGGCACCAACTTCCAGACGAACAAGACGGTGAAACCACACATACCGGAGAAGATAAAAAATGTACCTGCAAATCACAGCCACCAGAAAATACATAATTACTTGACTCTCCAATTGCCTATTTCTGCAGCAGAGACAGAGAAGAAATGGTCAGCAATTGACCTGTAGAGCTCCATTCCATCATAAAATTGAATGTGTATGTCACAACCCAAGATCCGGACCAATTGACTAAAGTCACTAAACTTCCAGCTGAGGCTTTCACATTTACGGGAAATATCTGCAATAAAAAACTTGTGAATTTGTTTGAGCTTCAAACGTTCTAAAAATATATCCATTGATCAAGAAACTATATACATGTACCTCTGACATTATAACCCATGGTATTCCTGACATGCCTAGGGCAAAAGTAACGCCATAACCCTGTGTGCAATATAAATCAGCTATTGATGGTTTGGGATATATTGAGGAAGAAACTTATATCAATATGCGTTTTCGGTCACATTGGGCAAAAATATTTAAAATATGTGAAAGAAGAATTGACAAAATATGATAAAAGAAAAACATAAGCTAATTAGGGATGTAAAATATGTCTTCTGTCTGGATTGAATTACGTACCACTGTGCCAATAAATGCCAAAATCGGAGTTAGCTCTTTCAAATAGTGTAGTTCCTGCTCATAAAAAAAGGAGGGGAACGTGAATATGCTTCCATAATTAAATAATTTCGAAATATATGCCAAAAATTGAAAAAATGGAAGACTAAAATCGTAGATGTATTGGCAAAAATAGGATAGAAACACAAATTTAAATTGGGTTAAACCTGCAAGAGGAATGACAACCCTACAAGGAATAAACAAAAGCATGATCCAATAGCAGAAACCTGCAAATATTAGCAAATTTCGTTACAAATCATAATCAAATACATGTTAAAGTGAAATCATTTCCATCTAAATTACTAACCGAAAGAAGTGTTCTTCTTCCAGATCTGTCCAGCAAGAGTACCCCTGCAATAGATGCCGGGACCTGCAAAAATCATCTACCTTCTAAGATATACGAACACAAGGCCATTAAACTTTCTCGCTACAAAAAACATTTAAGGGAAAAAAATGATCCGAAAAATACCTGTATGATACCTCCGGTTGTAGTACCGATGACGGTTGAAAAATCTAGGCAAACAAAAACAAATTAACTTGGACTAAATTAACAAGGCTAGGATGTCCTATAGGCCAATGTGAAGTTGTTCTGTCTAATCTAATACATCAAATACCTTATTTTTGTTAGTGTGCCTCCTTAAGGGGAAATCTTAATTTAGTCAACTTATACACTCGTTATCAGTTGAGTTTCAAACCTATAAATTTTATTAATTACGTCTCCAATATTTCAAAAAAAAAAAAATTATTAGTTAGGTCTTTTTATTAATGTTCATCAATGTCAAATTTTCATCTAATTAATATTGTTTTAATATATAAATATGCATGTTAAAACGAAAATGTTAATGTTCCTTAACTTTTTTTTGTCAAATTGTCCTTAAATCAATATTATTTTTGTGCATAAAATATATGCATTAGACATAAACTATTGAAAAAAAAAAATTGACAAAAGCATAGAGTTGAGAATTTTATATGTTTAGGATGCAATTGAAAATCAATATATAAGTTGTGACTAAATTGAAGTTTCTCCACTCTTGCCTCGTTTGCAAGAGACTTGGGGTATATTGGGGAAAGCTGCGGATTTTGCTTTGGTGTAATTATAGTTGTGGATATTATAATTGTAAAAAACTAAAAATAAATAAATTTGAAATAAATGTTGTGAAAATGTTTTAATCTTAAATAAGATTAAAATATCCAAAATATCTATTTTGTAATTTCTGACTTTTGATTTCTAAATAGTTCAAAACAGTTTTTAGAATTTTACCAATTTTTTTTTTCAATGATCGATTTTGAATTAAAAAAAAACTCCATTTTTTTTTTTTTTTTTTTTCCTTTAAAAAAGGGCTACAAGCTATAGTTCCCAAACTGGCACTCACTAGCTTTATCATAAATAGTGGTAGAATAATATGCCACCGCACTAGCTCCTCCAAATTGTTGCAATAACATCAGCCCAACTCCAACCTAAGTCAATTTGAATGATCCCATGAAAGTTGATTAGTCATGAAAATGAAAGGAAAATAATTTTAATTGGAAATTACTCAGCACTTACAACAATTGGATAAGCATATTTCCTCTGAAATAAGTCTAGAACTTTAGATTTTGAGTCGTATTGAGAGGTATCTATAGTATCCTATAGAACAATGGAAGTACATATTGTCAAACGTTAATCTGAACAATTCACTTCATTAACAGAAGAGAAATGAAGTTGAAATGTTACTCTGATATCATTGGCTTCTTGAGAAATATCAACATTCACTCCTCTAAGCCATTGCAAAGTAGTCTCAAACTCTTTCTCGCAATCACGTTTTGCCTGTAAATTAGACAATTATGTACTCTTCATTTTCGTTTTCTTGGCTTCAAAATACACCTAAACAACATTTGAAATAAAGTAATATTACATTGGACTCACCAGCCATCTAGGTGACTCTGGAATGAAGAATAAGCCCACAAGTTGCAATATACATGGAATAACAGCTGAAAACAGGATAGGGTTGATACACTGAATAATAGTACTAAAACCACTTTGTAAGTAGATTGAATTTACAAGAAGAAGGAGAAACCTTACCTACTAGAGATAAAGGACGCCAAGAAATAATATTTCCAAGGAAATATACCAGTGCGAAGCCCAAACTCAGCATCAACTATGTACATAAAAAAACAGGAGAAACAAAAAAATGAGACTGTTGGATTCTATACTTGATTGACAGGCCACTAGTTTTACCTGATGACCTGATGTAAATCCTCCCCTGTGATTCTTGGGTGATATTTCTGCGATATATACTGGCACCTGTTATGAAAAATCACCATAACATTTTATTACATTTTAGATTTGTACTTCTTTTTAAAAGAAAATAGGTAATGTAAAGTATAAACTATGTGAAAATTACCACATAAGTAATAAGACCAACTGCAAATCCGATGGATATTCTTCCAATATCCAACCACCAGGCATCCTTTAAATCAGAATTGAAAAATATATTAAAGACGTTTTTCAAAACAATGTTTAAACTTGAGATGATTCATTTAATTTTCTTGAAAGCTCGGTATTACCTTACATTAATTTGTGGAGAGAAAAGATTGAAGATGTAGTAATGGTAAGAAAAATAACCTTAGCAAACGTTATTGCCAACCATCCTGGGATGCAAAATATTTGGGATAGCCACATTGTCTGCTTGACATCAACTAAACCAAAATTAATTTAAATGAATTAATGGCTAATTGATTGTAATTTAAATTTGTGGATTAGAAATCCCATGCAAGTATGCATTACTCGTTTACGGCCAATATAATCTGCAACCTTCCCACTTGAAATTGCACCGATCATTGCTCCAATTGTCATTATGGAACCAAAAACTGAGTACTGCAAAATTTGAAGGGAAACAAAAATCCATCCAATAGCAAGAAATGTGAATGACAAGGAAATTAATGTAATATTTTCTAATTTCACAAGAAATATATGCATCATGTTACTTCATTTTAATGATTGGAATTATTCTCATATGTTCTTAATTATAATGTGAGATAGGGCAAATATTTTTTCATGCTTCCAAAAGAATAGTTATAAGGGGCCAAAATTTTATCCTTCAAAGATAGAAATCAGCATTTTGCTATACCAAGAAACAAATAAATAAAGAAAAAAACAAACAACAAAAGGGGTATAACGGACTAAATCATAAATTAATCCCTCTCGTTTAGAAAAATAAATTAATCAATTCTTTTTTAAAAAAACTAATCATTTAGTTATTTGTGTTTTTATTTCGTCAATAACTTAGTTGTTTTATCAATTTTTCGTTAGATCAATAATTATTATCTCTAAATTGCTCCTTTTTTTTTTAGTTGAGGAGAGAGAAATAGAGTGAGTGAAAGAGAGAAATAAGGCATAAAAAAGAAAAATTTGGAAAAAAAATCACTAGTATAATGAAAAGATGGTGAAAAGACTAAATTATTGACGAAATTAAAACGTAAATGACTAAATAATTAGTTTTTAAAACTATAAAGACTAATTAATTACTTTTTCAAAACAATAGAGACTAATTTATAATTTACTCCCTTTAATGAGACTAGTACTAACTGCTGCCACTGAAAGGCCCAAGTCTTCCCTGATTCCAGATTCAGCCGTTGATGAATAGCCCACCTGAGAAGCAACTTTTATCAATATCAGTGCAATAAGGTCTTTCTTGAAATTACTTTAGCAATAGTTCTGGATTTTATTGAGAACGAGTCCTTAAATTCTATTTTGATCAACACCACGTAAGTTCTATCATTACCGCAAATCTTGGATTGTCAAAAAAGAAATGGTTTGTCTACCAAGTAACTAGCGTTATTAAACATGGTCAGGCCAATTAGAGAGGAACTCCGATGAACCAGCTGCTAAATTGGACACTGGTGACCAGATCATGGCTTACTGGAGATACAAAAAATTAAATAATAGTACTAATTGGTAGAAAGAAATGTGAATTTCAGACAAAAGACATTTCATTGGATATAAGATATGGGCCAATGCTCAAATTACCTCAATGGAAGGTTTGAGGAGCTCAAGTAGATGGGTCGAAGCAAACTAGCCTAGGAAGATCAGAACGCCAGAAGCCCAAGTTTAGCCCTAAAATTTTTGAAAACTAACTAGAAGTATTCTTGTTCGCAAATTTTACTCCTATATAATATAAGTAGTTTATAAATTGTATTGATTTAAACCAAAATATAAAAAAATAATTTTAGTGATGCTAAAAATTTTACTGAGTGACTTTTCATTTCATTTTTTGAACTTTTCTAAATAAAATATGATTTTACAACCTTATGTACAACTACAATTAATATATAAATTATACTCTTTTGATAGCTACACAAACACACATACACACAAAACCTTGTTGTCCTACCTACAAGCAAATTATAAATCAATCTCTCTAGCTTTGAAAAATAGATAAAATAGTCATTCTTGTTTCAAAAACTAATCAATTAATTATTTAACCACTATTGATCATGATTAATATAATATTATCTTATTTCAAAAAAAATGTTTTTGTCTCATTAATATTTCCATATTATTTATTTAAAAATTAAATGAAAATAAATTGAAAAAATTGAAATGTATTAAGATATAAATAGATTTAAAAATGTAAAGATTAATTAATTAGTTATTAAAACTAAAAAGACTATTCAATTCTTTTTGAAAAACTAAAGGGACTAATTTATAACTTACTCAACTACATACTGGCCACGCCTTGACTTGCTTGCACGTTTCAAATCAATTCTTCCTTTCCAGAAGGGTTGAAAAGTCGGCTTGAAAAAAGAGTATCTGATTTATCTGCTGACTTCATTGTATCTTTTATTATATCGGTTTCTTTTTTTATTTCTTTGACTTCATATGCATGTAATAAATTCCTATTTTTCTTTCTATGTTTTTTTTTCCAAATCGGTAATATATATGCTTTTTATTTTTTTTATGAATTGTAATTAATTATATATGCTTAAAGCATCCTTAAAAGGATGATGCTGTGGTTTTTGTGGGTTTGTCTCATATGTTAAGAGCTAGTTATCATTTATCTACTTTCACGAATATATATAGTTTTCTTTTTTATTTCCAAAGCACCTTGCATGAACACTCACCCATTTGGTCAATCGATGAATTTTAGTCACCAAATTTTATCAAAATTCCAACTAAATTCGGAAACTTTAACTAGTTATAGAGAGCTGATCTAACTAATATAATTAGGTTGCCTGTCAGACATCCAAACCAAAGACTTTTTGCTGTGGTTTTGTTACGTAGTCAGGAGGATTAGATTTCTTGTTATGTATTTCAATTTGCGTTGACATATTTATTCATTTTCAATTGAGTCTTAAAGTTATAAACGTAATCAATTAAATCTCAAATGTTTCACAAATTTCTTTATTGCATCCTTTTGTGAATTTCTTTTAATATTTTTAAGTATGATATGCCTATTTTAAGCACTTAAATATATGATGTAAATTTCAAGAAAATTTTATGAAAAAGTCAACGAATGTTAATATTTTCAGTCTAATGATCATGTACATGCATTAAAATGATGCCAATTTGAAGAAAAAATTGATGAAAATGTTAATCAACATATACAAAAATATTTGATTGAGATATTTTGTAACATTTGAGATCAAATTGATAAAATTTATAGATTTGAGATTCAATCGAGAATAAAGAAATAGATTTGAGATTAAATTGAGTTTTTTCAAACTAAATCTCCTTGCGTTTGATTTGTCTATCCCTAAACTCTTTAGTTTATTGTATTATGCTTATATCTTGCAAATTCATCATTTTTATATGTATTGCCTTTATTTTATTTGATGTTTTGTCTTTAAAGTTTTAGGCACAAATCTTTTATTTCTGCACAAATTCTCAAGATACATTCACCCTATCAATGACTTAGCTTTTGATCCAACATCTTCAAAATAAAACTGAGTATTAGAAAGAAAAAAAAAAAAAGGAAAGAAAAGAAAAGGAGCCTTCATGTGTCTAACGGGTGCTAATTGGACTTTTGGTCTAGCTAGTTTGGGGAGAGGGGGCAGATATATTTGATTTTGACACACTAATTTTCAAAAGCCTCGTCATTCCTACATAATAATAATAATAATAAAAAAAGGAAAGTATCATTAGTGCACCTTTGAAATTTAATATTCCGCTCTTACCAAAAACAAAATAACAAAAAAACGAGTAACTCTGCATGCATACGCTTTGGCTTTGGATTTAGACCATCATAACAACTTTTTTTTCTCTTAACGGGGATCACATCAAGTAGTACATTATCCAAAGTAGTATAAAATTATAATAGAAAAAGAAAAGAACATAATATATATTATTTCTGTGTGATTAAGTAAGTTAATTAATTCCATATTATTTCTGTGTGATTAGGTAAGAATTAATTCCTCGGGATATATATTATGTTCTTTTCTTTTTCTATTATACATTTATTCTAGTTTGGATAATGTAGTTCATGATGTGATCCCGTTAAAGGAAAAATATATATTATAAGATGTTCTAAATCCAAGGAATTAACTTGCTTAAGCACATAAAAATAATATTATATATATAATACGATGATGATTACCCTCAAGTACTCAACTTATGTTAATTAGTTGATAATTGTTGCGGCAATACATAGATATAGATGAAAATGTTTAATTTCCGGTGAATTTAACATGCTATTGAGAGTTTTATATTACAGAGTATCTATCTGACAAGAATTAGTTTACAGAATTCTATCATGTTTACAATACTTATTTATTTACAATCCTATCAATAGAAGCTACACCAATCCAACCCATCTATAATTAGTTGCTTGATTTTTAAGAAATTTGTAGATGCCAATCACGTCAGTTTCTAGTCGGAAAGGTGATATACTAATTAACAAGTTAACCACTAAGATGTTTAAGACTAAATACCATAAGGACCAAATTAAGTGATTTTCTTTTTGGGTTTTAGTTATCTTAGCTTTATGATCATAAGCGAAACTAGCTCAGATAACAAAATAAAAAAATTAACAAAACTAAACAATAATATTGTTATTGAATCAATGAGTAAATTATAAATTAGTCCCTCTAGTTTTGAAAAACAAATTTATCTCTCCTATTTTAAAAATTAAATATTTAGTGTTCAATTTTTTGTCTATTTTGTGTTCTTTTCTGATTTATTTTATTTAGAATATATGAAAAGGAGAAAAAAAAAAAAAAAGAAGAAGAAGATATTATGGAAACAATGACGAGGAAAGAAGATAATTTTTAGAACGAGATAATATTAAATCAAGCATTATCAAAACTGGTCAAAAAGACTATATAATTAATTTTTTAAACAAAAGAACTAATTAATTTTTTTCCTAAAACTAGAGGGACTAATTCATAATTTACTTTTGAGTTAATAAGAAGACACTGCAGAACTTCTAGCACGAACATGTTCATGGTATTGATTAGCGTACTTACAGAGAGCCCGTAACAGAAAGAGCCACAGACAGCAACGAAGGTGCTGAGGACAAGAATGGGAGTGATGGGGGAATCATTCTTTTCCGTGCTGCCAATACCATTCCCGATGGGATTTCCATCATCAAGCAGTAAAGGCCGTGTAGTCGTTGGCCTCCCTTCTTCCATGCACTCTCTCTCCATTTATGGTTTCTTGGACAGTTAAGTGAGAAGAGGAACGCAGAGTCAGATACTGAGAAAATTGATGTAGGAAACAATGACAAGTTTTTCATCTGTCCATGTTATATATATAGAAACAATGGAGTTTGGAGTAACTTGAAAGTTTGAAATTGATGCAAGTGTTAATTATAAATTAGTTTCTCTGGTCTTGAGATACAAATCAACTAGTCCCTCTTGTTTTAAAATTAAACATTTAGTCGCTTATATTTTAATTCCCTTAATAATTTAGTTTTTCATAGTTTTTTTTTTCAAATTACCCCTTTTTTTATGTCTCATTTCTTTCATTCATGCATTCTTTTTCTCTTTCCTCCACCAAAAAAAAAAATAATAATAACAATAAGTTGAGAACAAAATCATTTATCTAATGAAAAACTAATAAAAAAATTAAATTGTTTATAGAATTATGATGTGAAAAATTAAATGATTAATTTTTTTTAAAAAAAGAGTAATTAATTTATTTTTCTAAACAAAAGAGGCTAATTTATAATTTACTCAGTAATTAATGTAATACATTTTTATTATTTTTTAATATGATAAGCCTGGCCCTTCATAATTAATATGATGGAAGTGTTCCCCACGTCCTCAAATTTCTACCAACCGTTTCACGATCGTGAACCTAAGATTTTTCCGCTTAAATGTCAAGTTTTAAGCAGTTGGTGCTTCCCATTAATTATAAATACAATTAATATATAAATTTGTTGGTTTAGATGATTAATTAATGAGTTTACTCTCCAAATAAAACAAAATATATAAATTTCTCGTGAGTACACTAATCAAATGTATCTCAATTTCAATCCGAAAATGGTTTACTTTCGGACTTTCGCAATATAAAAACTTGAGAATATACTCTAATCATTAAATAAGAAGTTTAAGATTATATTTGACTAATTAATTAAGTTAGCATGTGTTAGTAATAACGAGGAATTAATTATTTTAGTATATCAAAATTATAGGGGGTTGATAATAATTGATAAGTGTGAAACGAATAATACGCTAATGACAAAAATAATCATAATTGTTTGCAAAAATTATGGAAATAATAGTAATAATGTTGGTAGAGTTAATTATAATATTGGTAATGTTAGTAAAAGTAGTGGTGGTAAATAAGTAAAATAAAATTAGTGATTGTGTTAACTATAATGGTTGTGGTCATAGTGACAATAATAATGAAGTGATATAGGTTGTTATTGTGGTTGTATACAGTGACAATATTGTAAATTTAAAACTATTTTTTGTTGTTTTAAAAACGTGTTTTGATTTTAATTTTTTTCAAAAAAAAAAAACCATAACAGTATAACAAAATTTTTTTATACATAAAAAAAAGAAAAAATAAAAAACCACCATGATACCAAACAACACCTTCATTTTCTTTCATTTTCAAATGACTCGTATAAATTGTTTTAATTGACGGTTAAGGTTGCTTATCATTTGCTGCTCAACCTAAACGTAGTTTATTTTTCTTTATTTTGTTCACTCAAAAACAAATATTTAGTGAAAAAAATATACAAAGTAGTAGAACTGTCAATATCTTTTTTAAGTTATACTTGTAATTATTTTTTACTCTATAACTGGAGGTATCTTTGAATTATTTTATATATCAATTAAGATTATTTTTTTATAGAAGAGTAACGTTATTGATATTGAGCTACATGGCCCTTATTGACAAAACTACTTGTGTTTTGACACTAAGACGTACGAAACTACTGCCTAACCGAGGAAAAAAATAGTACTACCTAATCCACACCGTATTTCTTACGTTCGGACTCCACGTGTGTGACTAATTTCTCGCAGCTAACTAAAAACCAAGACAAATATTTTCCTGATTTAACTAAGGTATTAATTCTTCGTGAGTGGGGCCTGCAGGTCTAGATTTTCTTGAATTAATTATGGATCATGGAATAAGATTTGAAAAGGATGGCACCTGTGTTTCGTCCACGGCAACATCTTTCTCATTCTATCACACGAAAATAAAGTCGCCTTTCTTGTGTTATTTCACCTATTCTCATATATAGTCGTTGCCCGTGTTTTCATGCACAAAAATTTCCAAGAGGAAAAGAATGAGATAATTTTATCTTTGATTTTTTTAAATAATTTAATTTGTTCGTATATAATAATTTAAATCTCAAATTTATCTTTATATTTTTTATTATATCTATTATTTTTTATATACTATTTAAGCCTTTAATATGTTCTTTTGATTAATTTTTTTTACTATAAATAAATTTTTTTATGAAAATGCTTCTTATTAAAAACAAAATCTATAAGCAAAAAAAATCTATAGTTTTTTAAATAACTATTGGTCTTTTTTCCTTTTTAAACATCATGACACAACACAATTAGGTCAAACAAGCTCATGACTTAATTATAAGCGAAAAAAAATACAGTTAATTCATGAATTACGGCCTCAAAAATACTGCTCGTTCGTGGAAGCTTCTGTTATGAATCTTGAATTAAAACTAAATCTGGTTTGATATTGTTTTCATTTGCCTCGTCAAGATTATGTTTTCGGCTTTTTACCATCTCCCATGTACTTTCTTTTTCTCGTTGTGGGCGTCTTTTCTCCCTTGATGTCTTTTTTAATGGATTCTTTGACTTATCAGGAAAAAAACCAATTAGAAAACATCGGAATCAAGAAGATAATTTTGATACAATAGTAATAATAATAATTGTCTTTCTCAGAGGAAAAAATAATAAAAAAAATTTCGACGAAAAATTATTGGGCAGGTGTATTTTCACAAGTCAACCACCCAACAACCTTTATTGGAATTTCGTTTCCTCCTTAATATATAGCATGTAATTATTCATATGTGCTAATTACATGTTTTAATTAACAAATGGAGAAATAGAAGAAGGAAAACTCTTTTTAATTTTTTTTAAAATGTAGTCGATTTTGACAAAATTATATAGAATACAGACCCGCTAGCTGTTGCAAATAATAACTATATAATATAACTCAAACGACTTTCAAGGGGCACTTTTATTTGGTGTTCCTTGCAAGGTGATATCTTCTAATGGTTGATCTATCTTAATTCCTTCCTTGCTACAGGTCAACCAAATTTTCTCTCCTGACCAAGCAACAACTGTTTGGATCCATAAAATCGACAGTCCAATTGATTTGATGTGGAACTTAAAGCAGATTATGGTCGTAATCCAACTTAACCACAAAAAAAAAGAAAAAAAGAAGCTATTATAATAGTAGCATTAGTTAATCCATCACAATCAACAGAATACTTTCTTCATACCACTTGTCACAGTTGCTTTCCAAATCAAGTAAAATTTATTTATTTATTTATTTATTTTTAAGTTTGGGGGCCCATGGTACTCAAAATCACAATAATTTCTTAAAGAGAAAGGGAAAATGGTGAAAAGAATTATATATATATATATAAATCAGATATGAGCTTAAATAATGTGGGTTGGGTGGATATGTTATATTCAAGAAAAGATTCTACACTAATCAGGTTCAGGTTAAAATAGTAGTTTCAGTAACCCAACAGGAATCAGAAATTAGGCTCAGCTGCTTTTTTACTTTTTCTTTCTTTCTTTCATTGCAACGGAAAATGCCCTTTTTTTTAATATTTTTTTATTTTGTAAGATATGGTTAATGAAAGAATTTTATCATATAACGTTGAACCAATAGAGAAAGTCACAAAGACTAAAATCTAAATATATATTTTCCTTCCTTCTCAAGCGCATTTTCTTTTGCATATCCCAACAAATGATGATACCATTTTTCTCAGAATTCCCATCAAAACAAACAGAATGCTTGGCATTTCTTAATGCAAAACATTAGTAACGTATGCTTGAATTTCTTCTAGTGGCCGTCCTCTAGTCTCAGGATCCAGCTTTAAAATGAATGAGAAACCAAATGCAGAAACACATGCAAATATGATGAATGTTCCTGAATGAGAAACCAAATGCAGAAAGCAATCATTTGCCGTCGTGAAACCGAAGCTGAAACGAAGTATCAGAGAAAGGGAAATAGGGAGGAGGGCGTCGCCTCCAGAGTTCCATTCCAGCAGAAATTTGAAGGTGTAAGAAATAACTCAACTACAGAACCGATATATTAAATTGCAAAGGCTTCCAGCTGAACCCTTTACATTTATTGGAAATGTCCGAAATAGATCAGACCATTATTTCATTCAGATTATCTATATATTTTGTTTTAGGCTTTTAGCATCGATCAAACGAATTTTTTCTTTCGGCATGGGGAAAGTTTTATCTACCTCAGACATTATAATCCAAGGTATTCCGGCAAAGCCTAGATTGAAAGATATCAAATAAACCTAATAACAAGATCAGCACCCAATTTGATGAACTAGAATTGAAAGAGTTTCTGAAAAAACAGGTTGCTGAAAGCAGAAATATGTGGCTTTTAAAAACAGAGGAAAAAGTAAAAAGGGTATCATATGGGCCGGCATAGCGTGAGCATTTAGCTCTAGAAATAATAAATTGGTATGCATATGATACTAGAACATATAAGAACTGAAGTACAAGTTGACCTTGGCAAATGTTATTGCAAGCCACACCCCAAGAGGTAGAAGACATTGATGATCCACATTGTCTGTTTCACGAGACTGATACAAATTCTGAAGTTAAAGAGTTGATAACGAGTCAACAAATTAGATCTTGAAAATGTTTGTTAATGCAAATTCTGATAAAACCTCATGGTTTTACGGCCGAAAATGTCTGCTATCTTCCCACTAATTAATCCACCACGCATTCCTCCAACGGCCAACATGGAACAAAAACCGAGTACTGCATGTTATATGTGAAAAGAAAGACGGAATTAATTACAACAGGGAAGTGAAACAAAATATTATGTTACATTGCCTCGGGATTAAATTGCCTTCGACAGATGGAAAAGGACTCTCCACACTCTTCTGGAAAAAGGACCTATAGCAACTATTGAAGCAAGAACAACCATTTTTGTTAAAGGATGAGTGACTCGGGCCATTGGTTCAGGTGTAATAAAAGGCCCCGAACTCTAACGGTAGCTGAGTTAGTCCTCCTCCTTTTATTTATATGGGCTTGGATCCCGCCAAGTCTAGTTCTCCTCATAGAAGTGGGCCTTGAAGGAGGAAGTGGAGACCCAACACTAATAGGATTCCCTTTGGGGACTCCCTCCTGCTAGATGTGCCTGTTCCATCCTAGGCTCATCCGAGTCACTCTCTACCTCAGAATGTTTGCCAAACTGCAGAATAACAACATACATCAAAAACCAAAATTTAAAGATAAAAAACAAGAAAGTACTCCAAAATTAGCACATCTACCTTTAATTTTCATCAATTTAGAGTACTAATGAAGGGAATAATTATGTTCCTGAAGGGAATAATTATGATGTCTTATCATATGTTTTTTTTATTATTATTATTGAAAAGAGAGACACAGCTCTAAACAGATCATATATATATATATATATATATATATATATATATATATATATTTAAAGTCATGTTTATGAGCTCTATTTGTATTTATCGGATTGCTTGTGGATATCTTACTATATGCAACCATGTTGTAGAGTGTTTATTTATGGCAAAAGTACCATTTATTTTATGCCAGAACTTTGTTTGGGCCTTGCTAACCTTGATAGGGCAGGATTAGGAGAAATTTTCTCCAGGATCAGTAGATGATGTGCGTCCGTACTGTCGTATTGTTATATAATTAATTTGCGACATTGGATATCTATGAGAACACCTTTGGCTAACATTTCGATATATAGTTGTTTTGTTGTCTTATTACAATGTTGTTTTAGTTTATAAAGCTTAATGCAACGGAGGATCGTAGGAGAGATGGGGATAGCAGTAGCCCCCAAATTTTGAATAACTTTAAACCTTAGGCCTTGTACTTTTAGAAGTTTTCACTTATTTTTAACGTTGAACAAATTTATTTAATTAGTCCCCAACCAACTCATTTTCCTTCTACTCACCTATACATATTTATAAAAGATTTAATCTCCTATTAGCCCCAACTTACCACCATTTTATAAAACAAACAGAATGCTTCGCATTTCCTAATGCAAAACATTAGTAATAGATGCTTGTATTTCTTCTAGTGACCGTCCTTTAGTCTCAGGTACCAGCGTCACAATGAATAAGAACCCAAATGCAGAAACACCTGCAAATATGATGAATGTTCCTGAAAAATACAAAAGGAAAGAAAACAATCATTTACAATTATTGAACCTGAGGCTGACATAAAGATGCAAGAGAAAGGGAAATGGGGAGGAGGCTTGCATCACCTGTGGAACTCCATTCCAATAGAAAGTTAAAGGTGTAAGAAACAACCCAACTACAGAACCAATATATCAAATTGCAAAGGCTTCCAGCTGAACCCTTCACATTTATTGGGAATATCTGAAATCGATCACACCATTATTTCATTCAATATAATCTATACAATTTATCTTTTGAGTGTTAGGAAGATCTAGCCTGGGATAAGTTTTAGTACCTCGGACGTTATAATCCACGGTATTCCTGCAATGCCTAGATTGAAAGAAACGATGTAAACCTGGTAACAAGATCATACAACAAATGTGACAAACTATGTTGAGAGAATTTTTGAACAAAAAAAAAGGGGGAATTCTATAGTGAAAACTTGAAGTTTTGAACTAAAATAAACTCATCATTACCGACACTCCTGTAAGCGCAAAAACGGATATCCAAGGGTGAAGGTCCTGCATACATGCTCAAATTGATATTATCATCAGAAAAAAAAATCATTACTAAAAATTGAATAAATGTAGTTCTACTACTAACAGAGTGGTTGAGAAACCTGGAACAAGAATGACAATCCTGTAAGCAAGGAACCCAAGCAAGTTCCAGCTGCAGAAACCTGCAAGAAGTTTTATGATTTAGTTTCCTCCGAAGTCAACTATGATTTTAGTTTTAATGATCTTATTCTAGACCAAACCATCAAAAGTGTCCGCCTTCCGAATTTGTCAATTAAGAATATAGCAGAAGTGGTTGACAGAATCTGCAAGAGAAAATATTTTATATTTGAGAGATGGAAACGTGCACCAATCTCGCATTAAAACGAAATTTGTTTGGACATAACCTTTATGATGGCCAAAGCTGCATATCCAACTTTAGTTGAAATATCTGTCCGAAAGAATGGGTGAAGCAATTAAATAAATTAGTCACTATCTTTATCTATTTTATCTGTTTTTTTTCCCGCTTTATGTGTAGCATTGGCATGATCACTTACCAGCCAAAGCAAAAATATTAGTCAAGTAAAATGTATAGCCAGTTAACCCTGAAAATTGCGTTAGTATCATCAGCCCAGCTGCAACCTATACCGTCAATAAATCATTATGGTTCGATAAATCATGTAGCAAAATGAAATTGTCGCTTGAAAAGTTTGTAGCTCACAATGATTGGTCCAGCATACTTCTTCTGAAACAAGTCCAAAATTTTATTTTCGGAGAGAAGCTGAATATATGCTGCATATTCCTGTGAAATAAAAAGATAGCATAGCAGTTGTAGTCTCTACTCTGAAAAAGATCAAGGAAAGTAAAAGATTTGAAATAATATAAGAAGCATAGTTCTGAAAATTTACTTCTTATAAGGGAAAAATAATGCAAACCATTAAATTTAAAAAAATACCATAATTAGATTTCTATTTTGGAATAGAAAATTTCAATTACAATTCATACATTTGACTTCAAATTCAGAAATTACTTTTATCTCAACTGCTTCTTGAGAAATGTCAACTTTCTTTCCTCTAAGATGCTGCAAAACATCTTCAAACTCTTGTTCAAGACCATTCTTTACCTGCATTTAGGTTTACGATCATTGTTCAACTATTATTGAAACACACATTACTACACAATACGGATATTATCGAACTTACTAGCCATCTGGGGGACTCTGGGATGAAGAATATACAAAGAGTCTGTAGGAGACATGGAATACATCCTGAGAAATTTAAAATCATAAATTTAATTCCAAGACTGTCATGGAATTAGCTACGATCTTCAGATCATACTCTCAGTATTACACAAGACTAGAATCATATTACTGAAATTAATACAATGATGCTACCTATTAGAGCCAGTCCACGCCATTTTACAACAGAACCGATAAGATATACAATTGCTACACCAGAACTTGTCATCAACTGCACAACATATAGCATAAAGGCAAATATGTAAACAAATATACATACTTACAAACAAAAATATTTGTAGAAAATTTAGAAAAGTAAAATGTACCGCATTGGTTGTCATAAGTCCTCCTCTAATGTTCTTGGGTGCTATTTCTGCAATAAAGACATTCCCCTGCAGACAACGGAACTTAGACTCCCAGATCTTTTTTCATAGTAAGTGTACTAAATGGAAAAAATTAAAGCATGTACCACATAAGAAGAAAGAGCAATTCCGATTCCTTGCAGCACTCTTCCAAGGTCAAGCAACCAACAAACCTATCAGCATGCACTGAACAATTTAACACTACAAATCTAGAACTTTACGCTATACATACCGCATTCCGGTTTAGTAATCCTACAAAATTTAATACAGGTTGCTGAAAGCAGAAATATTCAACTCCATTAAATTCCCTCATTTTAGCTCTCCAAAAAATAAATTTGCATGCAGATGATTCTAGGGGAAAATGTACTTAAATTTAAGCTGAGTATAGGAGATACAAAACCTTGGTGAACGCTATTGCAATCCACCCTAAGATGAAGAAGACATTGATGATCCACATCATCTGTTTCACAGGATTGATAAGCATTATGAGCTCAAGAGTTGAAAGGGAGTCAATAAAGTAGGCCTTTTTGCAAATGTTGATAAACACTCACGGTTCTACGGCCAAAAAAATCGGCAATCTTCCCATTTATCAATGCACCGATCATTCCTCCAACAGCCAACATCGAACCAAAAACTGAGTACTGCATGTTACAAGTGAAAAGGAAAGTGAACAAAGCAATGTGGTCTACCCTAGTTGAGTAAATGAGTGCTGCATGATCACATCAACTACTTTTTTCTTTTTCTTTTCGATTAAGGGAATATTGAAGTGCAAATATCTTACCTCCGCCATAGAGAGGCTCAAATCAGCTAAGACTCCATATTCAGCAGGCGAAGAATACCCAAGCTGGAAAAAATATATATAAAAACAGAATGTTATAAGAACTCGTACGCAACTACAATATTTAAGCTGCTAGATGGACAAGCAAGTTGATCAATGACTTATTGGTTACCGAGTATCCGAATTGATCAATATTACTAGGAAAAATATATAGCACCAATTACAAGGAAGTCAATGAAGTCAAAATATCATTAAAATGTAATCACATTTTTGAAGCCAGGGATGCAGCTAAAAATGGAATTGGATCCTTAACCGTCAGATTGTTCCATGTCGATCTTTTTCATCCAAACTATAGAAGATATACACCTGTTCCATACTTGGTGGCTGACATGGATTCCAAATATTTGTTACATAAGCTAATTCAGCAACAAAATTGTAAAGAAATGGATGGAGGGATGTAATTTAACACAATTATAAAAAGTTGAGGACCCAAATGCTCATCTTAAACTAAAGGATTCAACGTGACGTAAGTATTAAATCATAAGGACGAGTACCACCAATATTAAACCTCTTTTTTCTTCACCGAAATTTGCAACAAACTCCTTTGTTGTTAAACCATGATGATGGGATAGTAATATCAAATATGAGTATAAATTCAGAATCTGAGAAATAAGAGAAAAGAGCGTACAGAATAGCCAGCGTTGAAAGAACAAGTAGCTGCAACAATCGTGCTAAAAACAAGGAAGCGCGTGGCAGTAGAGCTACCATTAACACCAATATTCAAAGTGCTGCTACATCTAAGAGGGTCCTCTTCATCATCAACTAGCAGAGGCCTTCTTGCTTGTTCTGATCCGCCCATGTCTAGTTGTTGGTAATTAGTGGATAGAATGGGAGCAAGAACATGACAAGAGTTTCAAAGGAGGGACAGTGAGCAAATTATTCTTCTCAGCAAAAGGCACGTTCACGAAGAGCAAACAAATGTATAATAATCCAAGTGGTCCATCTATTTATTATATAGTAATGAACCTGCCTCCAATCAGTTTACCGTCTTTCAATATCAACCAACGTTTATAATATGCATTGAGAAAAAACGTAAAATAAACGGCGTATATATAGACACATATATATCTGGGGTCAACTTATAATAAACTAGTCCCTCTGTGTTTTAGAAAAAATTTCATTAATCATTTTTATTATAAAGACTAATTATTTAATCTTTATTTTTAAAATTTTTCTTGTAATTTAAACCTCTTGTTCTTTTTTAATTTATTTTGATTTTTTTTAAGAAATAATAACAGACAAGAATAAGTATAAAATATAAAAGAATTAACGAGAAAGATGATATTTTTATAAAAAAATAATATTAAATTAAGTATAATCATTAAAAAACTAATTTTTTTTAAAAAAAATAGTTCATTCATTCCTAAACAATATAGTGATTAATTTATAATTTACACTATAATTAATTAAGTTAAATAATTTCCTATCTCCCAGATAGAATTTTATGCTTTCCTTAGTTCGTACTCTATTTAACTCTGCGCTACAGTGATCTTCATCTACCTAGATATACGCACTAATTTTTTTAGCATGCTAGTTTTGTAGAGTAAATTATAAATCAATCCTTCTATTATAGAGAAATTAATTAATTAACCTTTATTGTTTTAAAAAATAATTATTTAATCTTTATATTTTTAATTTTATTAACTTAATGCTTTTTGTATTTTTTCAATTTATTTTTATTTTTTTAAAATAAAAAATAAGCAAAAAACATGAAATGATTGATAAAAAAAAAAAGATGATTTTTTGAAATAAAAATGTATTAAACTAAACACTAACAACAACTAAATATTAAATTATATCATTTGTCATAGGTTCTGTTGGCTTGGTCTGCAACATGATTATGTCGTACTTCTGAGTTCTGATGTTTGTACTACTAACTGGTGGATATATTGGTCCTTGTACTGTTGGTTTTGGTTCAATCAGTCCCTCAGACGTTTATTTTGGTTTGTTTTGGTGCAACCAGCATATGTTATATGTCATAGGTTTCATGTTATTGATTTTTCTATGAATCAAGGGATGCTTCAGCTTCTTCTCGAGGCAAGGTCTTGCTCTGAATACAAAGAAAGGGTTCATGTTATTTGTCTTCTACCCTGTTTTTTTTTTTTTTCTTTTTTTTTTTTACAATTATAAAAAATAAGTCAACCACCATAATAAACAATTGAAACTCAATATGTATTTTCCTAATCCACACCCTATTTCTTAGATTCGGACTTCACGCGTGTGCCTGGTTGCTAACTAAAAACCAAGACTAATATCTTCCTAAATTAATTAAGGTGTCTATTCTTCCAGAGGGGGGCCCAGTTTAGATTTTCTTTAATTAATTAAGGATCATCGAATCAGACTTGAAAAGGATGGCGCCAGTGTTTCGCCCGCAGCAAGACCTTTTTCTTTCCATCACAAGAAAACAAAGTCCCCTTTCTTATATGATTTCACCTATTCTCATAGCAGTTGCCCGTATTTTCATGCAAAAAAAATTTCCAAGAGGAAAAGAATAAGATAATTTGGTCTTAGATTTTTTTTCTATAAATAACTTAATTTATTCGTATATAATAATTTAAATCTCATCTTTATCTTTAAGTTTTTAATTGCATTTATTATGTTTTTCAATATCTAATTTATTCTTTTGATTAGTTTTTTTTACTACAAACAAATTTCTTTTTATTGAAATGCTTCTTACTAAAACGCCAAAAAAAAAAAGGTTTTTTTTTTTTTTGGCATTTCAATCAGGAATATTTTGGTAAAAAAAATTATTCATGATCCAAAAAATTGATGAAAAGAACATTTGAAGACTAAAACAATGTTCAAGAATATAATAAAACAATGGTAAAACAAGCTTACACTATCAGAAAATTTGGCATATAGCAACGGATTTTTCCCTTGCTATATCTTAAAAATCCATCGCTATATACAATTAGTGATGGATTAGAGACAATACGACTTCCGTGGCTAATATGATCGTCGTTATTTCCTTAGTGATAAAAAAAAATTTCATTAATTTATAGAATTGTCGTCGGTAAATCGATATAAAACGAGTCTTCTATCAAGTCTTACATCCGTCACCAATCCATTGTTACTTTCATTTATGTTTGTCGCTCTTCGGAGATGGAATGGGTTTCGTTAAATGATAGTTGCTAAATCCTTCATAATTCCATCACTAAATCCGTCATTATTTAACGACCGTATATGTTTCAATTGCTAAATGTCTTCGTTAATTCGATCACTAATCCATTACTAAATAAAGGAATTTTAAAAAAAAATTAATAGTAATAACAAACAACTATAAACAATAAACAACATCTTATTAATAAATGATATATTATTTAATAAAATTAAAATAGTATAAATTGAAATAAAATAAATATATAAATGCATTAAGGTGTACAAAAATATTAAAAAATTAAAAAAAAAGAAAAAATATATAGTTTTCATCATCATCATCATCATCTCTTGCATCGTCTTTCAATAACTAGGTGTTGAGAGGAATGGTTGACTCTTAGGTTCTCGAGGGATCAACGAGAGGGACATGAGTCTCGTTGTAAGTTCTATAACAACTTCGTCACTCGTCCGCATCTAACTCTATATAATGCTGAATTGATCGGCATGTTCCTGGATGGTAGCCTCCATCCCCTTGATCCTATCTTCTTACTAGGGAAGAAACCTCCTAAATATTACCACTATGATACCGCAAAGTGACAGAGGAGGAGCTAATGCTAGGATGTGAGTAATACTAGGATGTTTGTGATCCGAACCATACACTCTTTGCTTTTTCTCCCCTCCTACAACATTCAAATATATCTTGAACATGTTGATATTTGCGGATGATGAATCACCATCGTGCGGCTCCTTAGCATCCACTTCTTGCATTGACTACACATGCTTCTATGTTATTGAAATAATTATAATACTAAATCATAAATATATTTTTTAGCTTATGTCAGTAGAAGTATATATATTTTAAAAATAAAAAACTTAACATTACCGCCTACAACCACCCATCGACAATTGACCCATCTTTCCACTTGTGAGTGATCACAAACAGACTTATAAGGATTTAGGTTATGACCTAATTTATTATACCGAAATAAATAAATAAAATAATATGAGAAGCAATAAATATAAAAAATAATCTATAACACAATGGATGATATGGGATTTATAAAATGCTCAATATGCTTAATCAAAGGGGTGGACTATCTAGTATGTTTGAATGGATTAGTACCAACACCACCCGTCTCTAACATGTGATTTAGAGACGCCTACTAAGATCGAGTCTAATACTCGAGAGTGACCCAATTCCGTGTCGTACTTCTCACACTTATTGTTTAACAAACGCGGATATATTAGTCTTATGCTTCAACATGTCGTCATCTCTCCTCCATGCTAGACTCTCCTATGCATCCTTAATTAGCACATCGACGATCGCATCCCATAAAAAGTACTTCTACATGAAAAAAATATTAGCACATTTCATGTTAAATTAATACTTTAAATAAAATATAAATAAATAAATAATATTTTACCCTAAACTCATTAAAGTAGAAGCCTTTTATGTCCATGGAGATAAACTTTCATGTGAAGCCAACGATATCCAACTTGCTCCATGAAAATTATGATGATTTTTACGAAACACTTACTTGATAAAACCAAGCTATTAAATAAAACAAATAAATAATAAATTAATAATTTCAATATAATATATAAAAATATAAAAATAATTTTCAAATGTAAAGATATTATTTATCAATTATTCATGACTCGAATAGTGTATCAAGAATCAAATCCGAGTAGAGTTTTCTCGAACTAAGGAAATCATCACGGGGGCATTCGCAACTTAGGGCACCATCGACAAGGGCATTACTAATGAGGGCACTACACGAGGGGATGCGGATGTGTGGCATCACTATCAAGTTCGTGGCCCCGGACACTTGCACTAATAGTGCCACATCCACATATACCGCTACTATCAGTCGTACAATCACCATCAAAGCCATAACCACTAACATCACGATTAAATCTACATAATTCATGAGATATAACCCAAGAATAACACCTAAACGACTTAAAAAATGAATAATAATTCAACTAAAAATATATTATAAATTGCTTTCATTAAAAACAAACAAAAATCTATAAATTGGATATTTCCTTATTACCGAAAACGTCACTTGCACAAAATTCAACGTGTCCAAAATGCACAAAAAACATTTAAAAAAAGCATAATAGGAAAATCGATATAATTTAATGAATACAACAAATAAAATTGATCTTTAATTACAACTCGTCATAATGATCTTCTAAGTTTTCTTCTCCTTCGATCGATTCGATACATATTCACTCTCATCTTCTTCATTAGCTTCGATTACTTTTATATCTATAAACAATCAATTTGAATCATTCAACAACTACTCTTTACCATCATCCCGAATCAAATTGCATTAGATTTTTAAATCGTTCTCTTAAAGAGATTCCGCATTTTGTTGGACTCCAGTAGACGATTTTGACAAATCAACCACAACCCTAGCTTTTATCTTACAAACACCTCATCAATCCCGACGATCACTCTTCAAGTTAGGATACACAATATAATACACTTGAGTCGCTTATGTCACTAAAACAAAGGGCTTGTACCTATTGAAAGTCCTTCTACGAGTTTATCTCCATTAATCTATATTGTGAATGAATCCTTAATTAATTCTAATTACGAGTCAAATTAAATTTAAAATAACTATTTTTAATATAAATAAAATTAAAATTCAACCAATTAAACAAAATTAACCTAATTAATTAATTAAACATAAA